ATATACTACTATCCAGGTTATCTATTTCTTTTTTGGGTGAGCTTTGGTAGTTTGTGTGTAGAATCTGTAGTGGTGTCATCGCTCTCATTTCTGACATTGGTAATTTGTGTCTTCTCTCTCTTTCTGTCTTTTTCTGATTGCATGGCTAAGCATTTTATTGATCTTCTCATAGAGCCAACTTTTGGTTTCATTGGTTCTCTCTACTGTTTTATTGTTTTTTACTTAATTGATTTCTGCTCTGGTCTGGTTATTACTCCCTTTCTTCTCCTTATTTTGGATTTAATTTGCTCTTATTTTTCTAGTTCCTTAAGGTCGACTATTTGCTCATTAATTTGAGAACTTTCTCTTTCTACTATAGTATATATTTAGCACTGTAAGGTTTTAAGTATTACTTTTTCTTCCTCCCAAAATTTTGGTATTTTCATTTTTGACCAGTTCAGGATACTTTCTGATTTCCCTTTCACTTTCATCTTATGGGTTATTTAGAAGTATATTATGTAGTTGCTAAATATTTAGGGATTTCCCAGATATTTTTCTGTTTTTATTTTCTAATTTAATTCCATGTCATTAGAGAAAATAGTTTGTATGACTTGAATCATTTTAAATTTATTAGAAATTGTTTTATGGACCAGAATAGGGTCTATGTTGATAAATGTTCTGTTTGCACTTGAAAAGAATGTGTATTCTACTTTTTTGGTGTGGGATGTTCTACAAATGGCAATAAATTCAAAGTAATTGATAGTGTTGTTCAAGTGTTCTAGATCTTTATGACTGAGGGCGTCACCATCCAACCCATCCACTGTCCCACACTCAAGTCTGAAATCTTTGTATATTCTCTATTCCTTCTGCTCTCTCGCTCTCCACATCTCTTTAGTCATCATCCAGTGCTTTTCATTTTACCTTCTAAATCACTCTCAATGCATTTCTTCTTCTGCATCTCTACTGTCACTGCCTAGTTTCTACTCTAATCAACTGTTGCATGACATCTGAGTTCACCTTCTAACTGATCGAAATNAGCAGTCTACACTCATCCCTACTTCCTTCTGTTCTATTCATAATGCAGTCTCCTGCAGAAACTTTTTCTATTTGGATCACTAATGCCACTTTTTTAAAAAACAGCTTTGAGATATATAATAAATTGCGCATATGAGTATTTAAAATGTATAATTTGATAGGTTTTGACAAATGTATATACAAGTGAAACCATTGCTACAGTCCAGATTACAAAATCAGCCCCCTGGCCCAGATTTTGTGTGCCTCTTTGTAATTTCTCCCTCATGTCCCTGCCTGTTGCCCCTCCCCGACCCACAGGCAACCACTGTTGTGCTTTCAGACTCTCGATGAGTTTGCATTGTTTAGAATATTATAGACTACATCATATAGTATATATTCTTTTTTGTATGGCTTCCTTTAGTCAACTTAGTTATTTCGACGTTTAACCATGTTGCTGTATGTAACAATAGTTCTTTCTTATCTTTTTAAGCCACTTGATTGAGGTATGATTGAGATACAAAAAGCTGTACATGTATAATGTATGTGACTTGATGAGGTTGGAGAAACCATCACCACAATTTTTGCCGTAAACCTATCCATCATCTTCAAACGTTTCCTCCTGTCTTATTTTGTGTGTATGATAAG